CCGCGTGAGTTTTCATGATCTCGGTCACCGGACTGACTGTGCTATCTCTGTTGTCCTTGCGTGGAGCGCGCTGCTTCCGGAGCACGCTCCCTTGTTTTGCACAGAGGGTGGAAGGACGGGAAGAAATACGTTTGGACGACGTGCACCAGGAATTTCACGGTCGCCAACGCGGTGCGAACAGAGCCTGTCGCCAAAGAGATTCTGCTCCCATTTCGTGCTTGACGCGACCTTCGTCCCGCTGCTGACGCGACATAAATCTGACAGGCAGATGGGCCACGTTGGCGGCCCGGTGAAATGGCACAGCTAAGCATGTGCCGCGGTGACGCCAAACCGGCTTTCCACTGCGCATGGTAGCGCAACGCTGTCGTTGCGATTGAGTCAGGGCAAGCGGCTCCGCCTTGTAGCTTTCCCCGGCTGCTTGCTTGAATGGCTTGGCGATGCATGGCCCCTTGTCGTTCGTTGTGAGCAATCGCCGGTGGTGTTTGCCCACATGCCGTGACACGTGGCGGCTTCGGCAACAGGGGGCACGCACAACACGCTGGATGCGTTCGCACACCACAGTAACTCTGAGCATTAGCATTGCAGTATGTTGCACTGGCCCTGTTCCACGATGCGGCCCTGGTCTCGCCGATTCGCCCAGCAAAATCACATTGCCAGCACAAAAAAATGGCAAAGACTCTGCTGAGCTCAGTATGATTCAGTGGAATGTGTTCATCTAGACGAGCTGTGATTGACTCAGACCGCTTGACTGTGACATGCTCGTGTCGCCGATGACGCGGAAAAAGAATGAAAAAGACACCCACAACCGACGGCGCCGCGCTGAGTTGCGGAGCGCCGCAAGCAGACGGCTTACCCCGAACTCACGCGCCGCGGGCCACAGCGGCTGGTCGTGCTGGGGATGAAGGTCGGAGAGTGATGGAATGCGCTGGCACCCGGCGTGATCTCGTCCGCTTCCGAGTGCCCTGGGTGCTCCTTGTCTCGCAGTCCAGCATGCCATTGCGGGCACAGCCCTTGGTCGTGCGTGGCTGGCGCTGTGTATGATGGACCGGGAGCAGGGCCCAGCCTGGACAGGGTGCTTGAGTTGTGCCGACAGCACCGGGGCGAGTCGTCTGCGGCTTCCGCCGTAGCAGCCCACAAGCCTTAGTGAGCCGGTCGCTGAGCAGCGCACGCGTGCGGCTTACCCCGAGCTGCTGCGAGCGGGCTCGTTTTGGACACGAGTCCCCTCGGCTTTCAGCTTGGCATGTCACTCACTACGAAATTTGATGGCGCCTCAACTTCGGGTACCCACGTTTTGCATGTGCGTCCGGCTTGTGGGCTGCCATCCAAGGTGAATTGCAGCAGATTGGGGTGCCTGACCCATCGTGATGTTGCATTGCACCCGAATTTGCCACGCACCGTGTGAACCCGGCAATTTTTCAAACATGTTTTTGCAATTTTGTTTCTTGCCCAGTTCGTGTCGGGTCGGTGGGTCTTATGTCTAGGCCGAGCCGTGTGCACCGACTGCTCTTGCGCTACATTCCGATGTGGGTTACAGTCAGACAGTCACGCTGTTTGCTTGCAGCCCGACGGCAGCTTTGCCAGATGGCGTCAACTCTACGACTGGATGAATCAAGTTCAACGAAGCGTCGGGCTGCGTTGGCCGGAGCCCACAACGATCCCCAGCACCGCGTCGTAATCGGCTCGGAGGTGAGGTGGGCAAGGCACACTTGGGATTTTTTGGCTCGCCTTCGCAACATCACCCTGCGCATGCCACGACTTAGGAGCTCCACGGTACATTGACGAGTCCGTTCGCGATAGATGGGTGTGTCCCCTTGCCTGAAGAAGTGCAGCCACCACGCGCACAATGTATACACACCCTGAAACCTAGACCCTTAACAGCCCAGATCACCGCTGACCGTTTGCATGGGCGTTCATGGCTCCGACCGTGTAATATGTTTCATGGTCCTAGAAACCTCTTTGCTTGTCAACTCCGTGACGGCGAACCAGCGCCGGGCCCAAGCAGTAGCCCCGGCATGGCGGAGCGCGGGCGGGGCGCGAACGCCGCGGAGGCGAACGAGGTCGCGCACGAGAGCTTTGCCTGCGCTTTGCCGGCACAATAAATGTTGGTGGCGAATACCAGGTGCCAAGCGACATCCTCGTACCGACCGTAATCGGTTGTGAAAGGACCGAACCTCCTCGTAGAGCTGCCGCTAGCAAGCCCGCATGGCTTAGAGAACGTGGCGTGCGAAGCTGGCAAGAACATGTGTCGGATAGAGCATTGACACGCCCACCTTTGATGGTTGTGATGTATCCTTTTCGAATAACCGCTTTCAGAGCAGAAACTGTTCACATCTCCTGCATAGGCGGCTATATACAAAGGTCCGCCACGAAATCAATGTTGTTCCTGATGTTGCCGAATGTGTTGACATCTACATGTGTGGCGACTCAAACATGCAGAAACTACGCATGTCGGGACCGGCTGTCCCACCCTTGTCGCGGTGCGCTATGTGCAGGGCGGTCAAATAAAGCATGTGCTTAGGAATCAACGATGCGGGCACAAAAACGGCAAGGCAACACTGGCTTGTTAGTGACGTTTTTTGTGGTTCTCACCTGTAGTTTTTAAGTAGATATTAATTTGAACCTCGCCCCCGCGGCGCACGGTTCAACGATCCAGAAGAACACAGTTCCAGCATAGCATGCTAGCACGCCAATTTCGCTGCACAGATTTTTTGTGTACCTACTTTCCACACCCTGAGCAGGGCACAGGAGGCATCACTGAAGCTTCTCTACAGGCGAGCAATGCTTCGCATGACAAGCATCCACGCTTCTAGCAACCTCTGCGATTAAAAGGAGAGTCCGTGCCTTCTTTGCTTGTGAGGCTCTAAATAGAGAAAGCTCAAAGGCCTCTTCCAGGTGTTGACAGGATGTGTGCCCCGAGGTTTGGTTCGGCTAAAGCACGCAAGTGCCACTCAGGCAGTCCTCGTTGGCTACTGCAGAGTCTCAGGTCGTGTGGTGGCAGTTTGGTTTGCCGGGGGCTTGACAAGCTGCGTGTGCTAGACCGGGGGCCGCGGCGAAGCGGAGCAGGCATTCAGATTCAAGCGGTGGTTGGGGGCTGCCAAGCGTGGCAGTGCAAAAGGTTGGGAGGCAAACAGCCGGTGCGGAGGGCCAGGTCGTGCCACAACACTGGCGCGCCCACACGACGGCCCCAGGCGGGCGATCCGATGACTGCCGACGCCTCTGGTTGTGTACCGAGTGCAAAAAATGGTGCCGCGGCCAACAAGGTGTCGGCGCTTTGCTGTGACGCGACGCTTGTGTCACCGTTGACCCGCGCAGAACACCCACAGGCGTGCGCGGAAGCATTTGACGGTGCAGCGCTGCAAGTCGCGGAGCGCCGCAAGCAGACGGCTTACCCCGAGCTCGCACGTGCGGGCCACAGCGCTTGGGCGCGCTAGCGACGGAGTCGGAGTGGAATGCGCAGCCACTTCCTCCGAGCGCAACGGGCGGCCGCCTGCTGTTCGCGCTGCGGCCGCTGGAGGCTGGTCCAGACGGTGGCAATGCATTTTTTCCGTTGCGGTCCAGCAGGCCGTTGGGGGCACGGTCTTTGGTCGAGCGTGGCCGGCGAATCCGGCCCAGCCTGGATCGGGTGCTGGACCTCGCCGAGAACACCGAGGTGAGTCGTCTGCCGCCCCGGCCGTAGCAACCCGTACTGTAGGCCTTAGGATCTAGGAAGCCAGTGGGGGAGCCTCAGACGCCAACGGCAGGAGGACAAGGGTGGGGGAAAATTTGGGGGGAGGGAAAAAAATACACGTGCTGGGAGTGCTTGGAACCCACCCATCGCCGGACCCATGCCTGATGCGCAAAAACACCGTCCCTGCAAGAAGTCCTGCATGATGCGTGCCCGCCTGTTCCCAGCTGTGTGCCGGATCGTCGAGCCGCGCAGCACAATGCAGCTCGGTAGTCCGCAGTAGCACTGGCACTGTGCGTGGATCGCTCGAAAAGTTCGGAAAAGACAACGGCAATGAACAGGAAGATCTTTTCGCAAGACAGTTGCAGCGCTTCCATGGGATCAGCTGAAATTGGAAAGGTACTTTTCCGGCAAAGATGGGCATGGGGGCTTATGCACCCCATTTTTTGTTTGCATTTTGTCAACCTGAGGCCGCGGCAGCGGTCTAGGGCCTCGCCTATTTTACCGGCATATGGGGCCAGGAGCCAACCAACACAACCACCAGCTGCGCCGCCGCTGCAGTTAGGGCGGTTCGGCACAGGGACCTTAGAGATGCTTCTAGCGGTTGAAAAGGTGCGTTGGAAAAAAAACAAACACAAACACACACACACACACACACAACCACACAGAAGCAAAAACCAGGATACTGGATACTGGTAAAGCCCGCTTCGGTGCCGCTTCGTCGAGTCAGAAGCTGACTACAAGGGATGGAAGATCAAACACGAAAACGAAGAGAACACAAAGAGCACGTCATCAGTCGGATGCATTCAATCGCGAACCCTGAGACTGTTGACCGTTGGTTGGCTGTACCTGTCCTGCGCTGATTTATTGCCGACCGAAAACCTCGGCCTAGCCGGTGCTGGCATTGTGTTGTCATCTTATACAAGCATTTTGGACGCATGCTGTTTTTTGGTAGCCCGACATGACGTGATGCAAATTCGCAACCCGGCATTGCAATTTTCCTGTTGTCCACTCAAAGGTGTTTGCAATGTATCTGGCAGACAGATTTTTACTTCACAAGCTGCACATCGCCGAAGCCTTCGTTTTAGCAGGCATGTTTGTGTGGTTTCCTGCGGCATGGCATCAGCAAATACCACGGTTTGAAAGGATTTCCGGCATCGTACGACTTCATGCCGTGATATTTGCTCTCGCTGGGGTGGCCGTTGGCAGTGCACCTGCATGACACGGGCAAACAGGAACCTAATTTGTATAGGATGCGGGGACATATTTGCTTCAGTGACATGGGCAGAGGCAAGTTAGCAAACCACATTTGAACTTCTTGATGTAGTAGCACCTGATGCTAAATGGAAGACGCTTGGGATCCTTGTGCTGGAGATTGCGTTGGTCCAATGCCGAGTTTCGAATACCGAAGTGTGAGCCACATGCGCCGTTGGATGTAGTGGACATGTGTTCAGTGTTCACTGTTTGCAGCAGCCAAGTTCGGCAGCGGCTGTCAACGTCCGGCAGGACTTGCTCCGAAAGACTTGGCCGCAGGCCCGGCTATGACATGTATGCCGCGCATATTGAATGACAAGCGACTTTTCGAAAAAGCTTAGGGGGGCCAAGCTGTTGCTATGAACATTGGGTTTGACTTCCGAGATATGCAATCGCCCGACACGTTCTTTTTGAGGCCCAGCGCTTGGATTCTCTTGTTGACAGGCGCCACCAGAGTGGATCGAAGAAGCAGAGGCGAAGGTGGGCCGAGCATGTTGAAATTGACATTCTTCGGTCAAGCTCCGGAATTGATTGGTGCAGGCATTGCTGCAGCCACACCTAGAATCTCCCGATTTGGCAGCTTGGCATGGACTTTAGCTCTGGTCCTCTATGTGTGGATTGTGTTGCAAGAACGAGGAAGATGCATTAGCGGCCGTCTTGACAGCTTCAACAGCTTATGCAGTACCTTCTCCAGCCAAAGAATTTGTGCGCACGAGGCGCCCTTGCCATCGAGAAATCTGTGAAAAGCTGAGCACCGAAACAGCCGTACGACGGAAGCAAACGACAGGACGTTGTTGTCGCTCGTGGAGCCGTGCGATGCTCATGTCCTCGAGGTCGGAATGCCCAGACTCGCACGCAGGAAAACTGCTGAGTAGTTCATGAATCAAGTTCATGATTCGGCAGGTCACACTGGAAACTCGGCAGCCCTTGGACATGTCATCAACCTGTGTGATTTAAGAAACTGTTGCCTGCCTCGTGCTAGGGGACCATCATGATGCAGTGGCAGGGGCAGAGATTTGAGAAAGTTTGTTTCGTTCTGGCTTCGAGGACTCGCTTCAGTTTGCGTCCGTGGTGCCGGGCCCAGTGTCGATGGCCAGTGGCTGACTGGAGTCTACAATCGCGATCACCTGCTAAGGGTGGAGACGAGCACATCTCGCATGCCTACCATGTCCGCTTCAGATTGAGTGGGGCTGGTCCGTGGGCCTTGGGCTGAGGCTCAGGCTGTCGTTCTCCGCCTGAGGGGCAGGGCATGTTGCAAAAGTTTTGGGCAGATGCAGGGACCGGTCGTGGCAGGCAGATTGATAGTGGTTTGATGTAGTGATTTACGTATATGACTTCGCGAAGGTCAGCAGCCCAACATTCGTGGTCCATGACGATGCAGCAGAAGGAGACCACAGTTCTGTCAGGATGTTATTGTTGTGCTGAGAAGCGGTGTGTGTGGCACCGGATGCCACTGGACCAGGGCCAGTGGAGGTTCAGATGGGAACGGCGGTCCGCTTCGTGGTTCCTTTGTCTGGCGGGGACAGACACTTGGCAAGTCGCGTTACTGTTTGTGGTTTTGTGGACGCAGGATAACAGAGGTGCAATGGAATCGAAGAGTACAGTCTTCAAGCTCCAAGGTCTTACACATCTATTCAAAGGTGTTTTTGCGATCGGGCTGGAGCTTCAGCTTCGAGAAGAGCTTCGCGAATCGAACCGCCGCTTGACATTGACTGCAGAAACCGAAGAAGTCTTCAGAGCCAGACCAGACCACACATGTGGAATTTGACCCATGCGAGGTGCAAACACGATTCTTCAGGGAGAGCTTGCTGCAGCAGATTCTGAGCAGCACGGGGTCCGTGCAGAAGCGGGCATGCCGCGTTCCAGAGTTGCCTAGGAACTTCATGCGCTCTGCGCCGATATCGAAGAGGAAGGGCGGAGCGGATCCTTTCGAACGCGGCTTCATCTTAGCCGACCCGGAGCACCCTTGAGGCCGTGCTTGCCGCTGAGCGGAAAACTTTCCATGCCGTCGTATGAACATGGAAAGACTCTGCTGTACATGTGGTCGAGGTTGTCCTGCTCGGCAGCCGCTTCGCAAGGAGATTGGCTCGGAGATCATGCAGCTTGGCAATCTTTTCCACTCACGATTCTCGCTGTCACGTCGTCGTGTTGAAAGGACCGAAGATGGGGCTCAATTTTGAGGGAATGCCTTTTGCGGTCCAACTTTTCACCAGACGCTGTGAGCATGCATATCTTTTGACGCAGCTCAGGTGTCCCTGTCTTTGCGCTTCGCCCGTGCTGTGGCAGCCCTGGATGCATCGCCTTGGCCTTGTGAGGCTCAAGCACAAGCTGTGGCCCCTTGGATTAGAAGCTTGAAATGGGCCTTGCGTGTTGAAGGTCCTGCAGGATAGAAGTAAAGTGCACTGAAACCCGGCAAGTTCAGGCTTGGGATGCCCCTTCTGCATATTCGGTTGACCGCGTGTCCACAAGGAGTCTGGACCTTTGAGAGATACGGGTCCCCGCTGCATAGTGCGAAGCTTGTCTCTGGCCTCGGGAACGCAGTCATAATCTTCTCCAGTTGCAGGTCCCTCAAATCCCCATCGCGCATCCAACGCCCCGAATCTTGGCTCCTCACCCCGGGGCAAAAGCTAAGGCCATCGGCCCTGAGGACGCAATTCAGGTAGAAGCAGTTGAAGGGAATCTATTGGTGCCGCATCTTTGCGTTTTGGTTAAAGTTTTTGGAATGTGAGGGAAGAAAGAAGTCCGTCTGTCGTGTGTTTGCACGATGTGACATGTTGACCTTGCACTTGTGTTTTTTTAGAAACTTGTGTTCCTACTTGGCAAGTGCAGATTGGCCTTGAAGTAGCGGCGTACTTCATACCAGCTCTCCCCCAATAGCTGCCCTCGAAAGACTTTACCATCAAGTCCTGACCCGAACTTGCAAGACCGCTATTCGCAGGACGGCCTCGGGATTCCGGGGTTGCGGGTCTCGGTAGAGCGCTTTTTCGTGCCGCGGCTGCTGCGCAGGGAATCAAGGATGATTGTGAGGGCCAGCTCGGTGTTGATAATCGAGCTTGAGGTTTAAAGACTTTTCACTTGGAGTGTCGCCAGGCTTCGGATCTCGGCCATATCGGGGCGTGGTTGAGTGACGAGTGATCAAAGCATGCATCCGTGCTGGCACCGCGGGGGCATGCTGGTTTAAATGGTGCTGACGGTCCCTGATGCTTCCTTGCATTGTGCTGACGACAGTAGCAGTGAATGTAGACAGAAGGTCAAATCAACTCAACCACTGTGGTCGCATGCAGAACCCAAGCTTCAAGTGCCAGCCGATGGACGCTGGTGGCACCTTCGCACTCAGGCATCCTTGGTGGACGACCCAAGGTGCCCGTGGGATCTCAGCGCCGGCTCGAGGGTTTGATGGAATTTGATGGATTCGTTTGCAGGCCAGCGGACCTGGAAGAGCCGCCTCCTCCTTTTTTAGGCACAGGCGTGGGCGTGTTAGCAGCAGTCTGATCTCCATCTTGTGACTTGTGGTTTTTCGTAGGGTTTTCATGACGACTGGATGTGGACCCCGGCAGGCCGACCCGAGTCAGGGACAGAGGGGATGAATTGGGATGCCTGCGACGAGCTCGACGAGACTTGGTGGTTCTTCTTGAGAGTTGTATTCGGTGTGTTTCAAACTTGTTGCAATGGCATAGTCCGTCTCCAAGATCCCGCTGCCTGCAAGATGATCCTGCCAGCATCACTGAGGATTTGCTTGTTCTCGGATCACCGACGCCTCGTTTTTCTGATGGTGCGCAGGACGTATTGGGTTTGGGACCTGCCGGGTTTGGCTTCTAGCGTAAGTATGTTTAATAGCATTGTAAGAAATTTTTCTTGCTGCTGCAACAACGACCCTGGATGATCGAGTTCATTTTCCGCAGCCTGATGTTTTTTGTCCCCACAACAATCCAAGCAAAATCGGCTGGCTGCATGTTCTGACTAGGTGGTATGCGCGAGTGTAGTTTTGTTCGCATGATTAAGCCATGGGCTCTTCATTGTGGACAACCGCGCATCTTGGCAGGAATCACCAACTTCCAGTGCTAGATCGCCTGTCAAGGACGCACCCTGGCAAGGCGACGACCTGCAGGACGCCTCTTTCCATGCCTTCTTGCCTTCTTGGCCATGCCTTCTTGGTTTGTAGGTGGGAACCACAGTAGATTCTGGACGATGCAGTTTTTTCTTCGATGGAAGTGATTTGCAGCGGAAGATGCGATGATGACTAAGCACGATTGGGAGCATGACCGTGACTGTGACTGCGATGTTGATAGCATTGATGGTGATGATGGTGATCCAGGACATGAGATCGTCGTCTTTGCAGGCATCTGTGGAGACTGGCCAAGACAAGGTGCTCGATATTTCACGAAAGCTGAGGGCCTTGAAGGGGTTATGCTGCCTGCTTTTGCAAGGGCTCGCCCGTCAAGCTTTCGCTTGCATGGTCAGCAGCTAGATCTGCCGAGGCACGTCTGCAGTGCATGTTCCAATTCACCACGTTCCCGGTTCTGGTCCGTCGATGCCATGTCTGGGACCGACTTGACACGAGGCACTTTGTTCGGAGGCCCAAGCGTATTTCGTATTGTGGCGTAGCTTAGTATTGCACCAAGATGGCGGCGATCACCTTGGTTGGTCGGGTACCGTCCAAAGCGACAACTGGCCTGAGAACCAATCGTATTTTCCCCTACTACGGCTGCCACTTTGTCAGCTCGGCCTGTGGTCGTGCTGATGGCTTGGTGGGCCCGGGTGGGCGGCTTCGCCGATGCGGCGTCCCAGGGTGGGCTGCGGCAGGAGCACTTGGCCTCTCTTGCCTTCGAGCGGCTCGGCGGCGAGGTGCGGCACGCGTGAGGCCGAACGACGAGCTCCTTGCCTGCCTGCCTCTCCTGCCTGCCTGCCTCTGCTTACCTCTCCCTGCCTGCCTACCGCCTGCCTCTCCCTGCCTGCCTGCCTGCCTGCCTGCCTGCCTGCCTGCCTGCCTGCCTGCCTGCCTGCCTCTCCCTACCTGCCTGCCCCGCCTGCCTGCTCCCTGCCTGCCTGCCTCTCCCTCCCTCCCTGCCCTCTCCCTCCCTGCCTCTCCCTCCCTGCCTCCCTCCCTGCCTCTCCCTCCCTGCCTCTCCCTCCTTGCCTCTCTCTGCCTCTCGGAGTTTTCACCTCTCGCTTGTTTCTGCGTCCGAGTGCAGGCGGGGACACACAGCCGGGACATGGCGTCGGGTCGAGGTCGACTGGCCTCTTTGGAGAGCTGGTGGCTGGAAGCCGAGTGAGGAGACCTGGCCGCGAACGCCTTTGGCAGAGTACTGGCCCTGCCTCGCCGAAGAGCCCCTGGCTGCGGAGGATTTTTACAGCCGCCAGGCAATCTACCGTCGCCTCATCGCGATCGAGGAGTTGCAGAGTCTGTTTCCGGGTCCACAGCTGGACGGTTGCCCGACGCGTCATTTTCTCTGGGCCTATGCCGTGCAGCTGGACTGGCAGTGGCGCAGTGGACGCCTAGGTGAGGACCGATCCATCTCACCCGACAGCTGGTGGGGCTGCGTGAACTACACGCTTTGTGTGCTTCCGTTTCTGGGAGCCGTGGAGGCCGGGCTTCTGGAGCCCACGCCGCTGCAGGAGCCTCCTTCTGAGTTGAAGGCGGCACTGGCGTCTTGGACTAAGTTCTGGCAGGACCTCAAGGTGACGGCACAGCAGCAGGGGGGTGTGGCTTTGACCGAACGACAGCTGGACAGGGTCCAACAGGCGCTCTGGTTCTGTCACACCGAGTCCATTCAGATGGCTCTGAAAATCTATGAGCCACAGCTGCTCCTTTTGTCCAGAGAAGAACAGCTCTTCGGCTCTGGCTGGGCTCGCTTCGTGGAGGTCTTAGCAGCTGTGGCCTGGAGGACCGACCTGGAGGCGGTGGCTTCGTTGGGCGCAGGAGACTTGGTCTGGGCTTCAGGTACGGGGGAGTGGTGTACCAATGTATCTGACCTTGACCGTGCACTGAATACCGTTGGCACCTTGCGACTGTCGCACCAGGTGCAAGTAGTCTGTTGGAGTTTGCGGGGTTTTCTAAAGCGAGATGCCAGGCAGGCCAGCAGCACATCATCCTTCACGGTAACGAGTTCAGAAGAGCTGACCTCTCGGAATGAACCCGCCCATTCAGGATACTTGCCACTGACTCGCCTCGCGACAGATGCAGATGGCAGCCATGGGGGGGAGCCTAGGGAGGTGGAGCTTTTCCGGACAGGCGCCAGCACAGTCCAACAAGTCGCGACTGTCTCTGAACGCAGCTTGCAGCTCATGGTGAGCTTTTGGCGCCGAGTGGGACGTAATTTTTCTCGGCGAGTTGCCGTGCCGGAGGTCATATTGACTTTGACACGCCCGAACCAGCCCAGGCTGCTACCCATATTTCGTTTGTTGTGCTGGTACATCAGACCAGGAAAGCGCGACTAGAATGACTAGAAGCTGGGATCGACTGAGTCTGCTCCGACTACACGCTCGGTTTTCTCCGGTGCAGCGTAGAGTAACCGTGCATCGATTGAACTTGCTGCATCTTTCTTGCCATACTCGAGTGACGGTATCTCCGGTATTACTGCTCCCACTCGTTAGCCGTTCTCGTGAGCTGATCCGCAGGTTTCGCCCACACGGAGATCACCTACTCAGCACGCGTCCCTTGATGCTGGCGGTCTTGACGTCCCTTGTTTCCAATGGTATCATGTTTCTGACGGTTGTGGTTGTTTCGCCCACGGTAGCAAGGCACATGGGTTGCTTTGCCCCGTGCTCCTTTGCTCGAATTGCCGCAGGATTCGCCTTTGACCAGCTTGATGACACAGCATGCGGCCACAAATCCCATCCTGGACGAGACCGACGAAGCCACTTGCCTCACGCTCTCTGCCTTCCCTGAGCATCCGCAAACTTCGAGTGGACATGACTTTGAGCTGCAGGCTTTGAGCTCGCTTCCTGCCAGAGAGGCGGCAGAATCGCCGGCGAGGGATTCTCCACACCGTGCATCCTGGCTGGCGGCAGAGCCCAGCGATGTCAAGGCTAGATCTGCCAGCTGCAGGAAGTCTCACTCAGCTTTGACTTCTGGAAGTCATGCGTCGTCGACGGCCCGAGCCGACCGATGACACCTAAATCAGTTTGCAAAAACTCGTAGATCCAGAGGAGCATGCTTTATGTCCAACTGTTCAATGCGCGCCGCTTCTAGGCTGGTGGACGTGCCGTGCACAGGCACCGAAACTCACAGCAAAGAGAACACAACAAACCATCCCAAACTCATGTACGGGATCGGGCCTATGCAGAAACTCTAGACAAACTGCTACGTACTGTAACATGACTTTACGGCCTTGTGACGCTTCCCTGAAGGACCCTCTGCCAGCAGAGGCTGAGGCGACAGAGGCCATGCGTTTCAGGGGTATAGTGGCATTTCGCGCCACACCCTACACTGTCACCGGTCGGTTGTCCAAGCCCCCCAACCCGATTCCAGCACGTGTCCTCCATCCAACTTCCGGCTTGTGCAAGAGTTGCAAAATGTGAGGCCTCTGCTGTCCCATTGAGTGACTTCCTTATCAGACGATAGAACTGGCGTCCACTTCAAGAGAGTCGCACAGGGCTGCTATTATGAGATGGCGACGTGCAACTTCTTTCCAAACCTTGGGGCTCTTCTGAAAGAGTTTTGGCTAAAGAGCGACAGAACCGAGGTCGTCGCCAGCAAAGCTGCCGGTCTGCCTCTTCAAATCTTCATAGCCACGGGCCTAAAAGTATGATCCGCGGCAGGATGGAATGGAGCTGTTCGTCGATATGCAGTGTTTCGGCAGCTGCCTAAATGCCAGACTGCATGCATGTGGCACCTCCAAGGCAGACGAGATACTGCCCCCAGCAGCACAGCTTCGGGGAGATCTTGCCCAAAGGAGCTTCGAATCCACAGGTGATCGTTTGCAATCGCTTAGTGGTGTGGTGGGAGCATGTTCCGCAGTCTTTCCGTCGAAGTGCCACCCAACAGCCAAGAGCCAGAGACTCCAACTGCCCCGACAGGATTGCTGAGCTGGATCAACTGCAGCACTCGCTTCTGGCAAGAATCGGTGTCGACAAGTCGGAACCATGGCCTGTCAGGGAACCGTGTTCGATAACTGTTCTACCACACGTCTTGGCATGACTCTATTTTTGAAATTCTTTAATGTACTGCAAAGAGGAGTTTCAAAGGTGCCGAAGGGAGAAGTCGGATTGAGCCAGGATGCTGTTCCGAGCGACAGCTTCAAGAGGAGCGTCGAAGCGGATGACGTCGACGAGACCGACGCGGCTCCACAGGAGGAAAGCCGAAAGGAAAGCGAAGCTCGGCAGCACGTATGCCGTGCTGTCGTGAAGTGCAGTCTGCGGACATCAAGCTAGCAAAGACTTTTTCCTTCATCACTGCATGCAGCTCGCACGGCGGCTTCCCCAAAGTGTAGCTGGGCCGAGGTCCAGGGCTATACTGGGACCTAGTCCTAGGGACCGGGGGTGTCGATCATATTGGGAGTTGGCCGGGTGTCCTCAATGTAAGTTTACACAAGTCCTGGAAATGTCACTGGGACTTGAGGCTAGGCGTGTGTTTTTTTTCTCCATGTGTGCATGCGATGACCTCGGAGAGCAGTCGCGGTTTGGGCGATGCTGGCTCGGCCCCGGCTCTCAGGACGCTGGCTTTCCGCTATCCGGGGGCCTGGAAGCTCCCTCTTCGAAGGAGCCCGATCCAAAGCGACATCTGGGGCGGAGAAGTTCCCAGCAGTGGTGACCCCCATCAAAGACACCCTGCCTGATGGAAGACAACGGTCCCCGGCTTTAGAAGGTTTTGATCAGGGGATCGTCACGGTGTTAACCTTTATATAGATCTGCCTTGGCCAGGAGTCGGTGCGTGAGCTCCCCGACGAGCCGGAACCTGCGTGCGAGGTCACTCGGTGCTCATTTTCAGTTTGATGCACCACTGTGCAGGTCCATGGAAACAGCATGAAAGCATGTGGAAGGTGAAGTGCAATGGATAATGTGCCGAACGACTCACAATTTGCACTTCGTAGGCCGGTAGCAATTTCAGACTAGTTCCTACCAAACCAGTAAAGGAAAGCCATTGAAGCAGGACCATACTATATACCAACACTTCACTTTGACATCCACTTGATCGTTGAGCTTCGCTGAGCTGCACTTCTAGAAGCAGCAGGAGTCCCTTGGTGGCCCCGATGCCGACGACAGCCACAGACCAGAGGGTGACTTGCAGGTTCGGGCTTTGAATTGCGTTGGTGAGGGGCTACAGAGATCCACATCCACGACAGCTCTAAGCCCCAAACTTCGCAAGAACACACTCGACGATCTTCAAGTCTGCAAAGCCTCTTAGACCGCACGTGCCGACTGGGTGGCTGCGGTAATAACCGTGGGTCGGTCCCTACCTCCCTACTTTCCTATACTTCCCTCCTCCATACCTCCCTACCTATGCACCTACCGACCTACCGACCCACGACGACGGACCGATCGATCGACTTAGGCTCAGCCCTGAGACCGCCAGCATCGATCGCCGAAGAATCGAACCTGGTTTGCCGCCGGCATTTCCTCCCATCTCCCCAATGAGAGGCGCGAACGACGATCCCAGAGGTGCCAGGCAGTGGGCGGAAGGCGAAGCGTCGCAGGGCGGGTGAATTCATAAGCTGGAGTGACTGGGCTCCTTCTGAATGGGCCTGGAGAATGCTTCTAAAATGTAGGCTGTCATTTGCCCGACCCCAAACCTGGCAACTAGTATGACGGCATGTGCATTATTGTGCATATGTAATCTGTAAAGTAGTGGGGTCTAGTCCCTTGATTGTAACCCTCTGTGATTGTCTGCCTTGGCTACATGTGCTGCTGCCAGCCTGCAAGTGAAAGCTTAACAGATCAAACTCTCAGCGTTTTTCAGCCTTACCTATGTTAATAGTCCAGTTTTGTCTGTTTCTGACTTAAGACAATACCCTTGGCCCACCGAACTTGGATACCCAGCGATGTGCGAAGCTGTTGTGTTTTGATTTGGCAGTGCAGGGTCTCAGGTTCTTACATCTTGTTTCTTGATGTTTGCTGGATTACTTTCTGCATATTGCCCCTGCTTCGTTGCCCCTGCTTCGCGTGTCAGGGTAGTGATGTTACTGTAGACTGTGCCTGCCCCGTGCGAGTGTGCGTGTCGGAGCCTGGCAGCCACTGACAGCCCAAGTTGACTTCAGCCCTGCTACACTTGCAAGTAGAACCACCCACAGCTCTCCGCCAGGTTTCGGCCTTCAGGGGTGCTGGAGCACCGCCACCCCGCAGCATCGCAGAGGCCACGCCACAGCACCCTGGATGCAGAGAGATGCAGGGAGGCGATTCTCGGGTCTTAATGGACTTGGTCTCGAGGGCTTGGGCTGCGTGGACACAGAAAATTCAGGAGTCGACAGTGTTGGATGGTGAAGCATTCCTTGCGGTAGAATCTTGTTTGCTTGTAGCTTCGCAGGTTCTTGCTGTTTTAAGGCCACCTTGGTGGATTTGTGTCTTCACCTTCGCCTTCACCAATTTCGCCACGACAGTGTTCGAAAGTAGGCTGTGAGTCACCTCAACAAAAGGTCGCCGTAAAAATGTGTGCCCGGATACGGAAGACCCTGCATATCCCTGCTATGCACATTCAAAGACATACGGACGTCAGATTGATGTTGTAGGTCAGGATGGGCGCTTTTGATGCAGTTTGTGCATGTAGGCATTTTGGGTTTTTCACAGACTGCAGATCGATTTCGGATTGACGTCATGTCAGGCACCTCCCCGTGCCAACCCAAGCAAGTGGTCGCCTGCTCTCGCTGGAGCCGCCGGGATGGGCCCAGCTCGTCGAGGGCAAGCTGCCCGGTTGCAGGGGCAGGGGGGCTTTTTCATCAAAAACTTGTTGCAGGTTCCAAATTTTGGAACCCGTCACACTCTGACGGTTCCCGGTTCTGCCGCAGCAGCAGGCCAGGCGGCCAGGCAGAGCCCAGCCTGAACCCCAGGCTCCTCCGATCCTTGGCAGATCCGAGGCCCTCTGGCCTAGCACTGGGTGGCCGTGGTCCCCTTCCCGTCTCCTTGAGCGCAGACGCCCAGGCTCTCCTCACTGTTCGGCTTAGGTCTGGATTCCCAGCCGTTTAAGTTCGAGCATTGCAATTTGAAAACATTGGTGGCTGCGAGAGGAAGGCCGGTCTTGAATTCTGCGACCTACTGACACCTGTTCTGCTGCAAAGAGACCTGATGGCTCGCTGAAACGCCAGCAAGAACTGAAGCTGAGAGCGAACTTCTTTCAGTTCGAAGCTATGTCGTAGTCAACAGCTCGGCAATGCGGGTTTGTCTTTACTAGGTAGGAGGGAACAAATCCCAAACCTGTAAACCTAGAACCCCGAAACCGTCGAAACCCCAAGCCCCTAACCCCTGAACTCTGAAGCCCCAAGCACCTTCTGAAATCACCCTTGTAGCCTTACAAGTTGTAGAGCCCATGATTGTGAGTTATAAGGACCCTCTGCAGAACCCTTTAAGGAACCCTGTTGCTCCGAAGCCGCTCTAAACTCCCAAGCCGTTCTAGAACCCTAACCCTAACCCATAGACCCCTCCGTCCCAAGCCCCAAGCCCTAAACCCTGCAAAATAAAACCTGAAAGCCTCTGTAAACTCGGACCCTTCAAGCCAGGCATGTGCCTTGTGCGAGTGTGTGAGTCGAAACCTCGTAAAACTCCTAAGTGGGGGTTTCCGAAAATCGGGGACCCTAATATAGCACCCTAGATAGTAGGATCCGTGTTATAAGGACCCCAAAATAAGGTAACCCCCTGTTTTCGGAAAGTCCTAAAGTCGCTTCAGGAGTCCGGAAGCCTTGGCGCCGGAACCTCCGCTGGCCGCTGTGTGGAGGTCCCATCCGGGTCTTAAGGAACTTTGACGGGCCTCTGGCTTCCCTTTTCAGGATTTCCACAGAAGGGTTTCTGTAGATTTGTGTAAAGCTTACACTAAGGGATACTAGAAGGGTTCTGTATCGGGACCTTTCGTTCGGAGGCCCGGCCTCAAAGCCGAGATCAGGAGCCCGTCTCCCTCCACAGTCCGGCGCCCACGGAGCTGCCAAAGACCTCCCTGGGCCTTGGGAGGCACAGCTTTAGAATGAGGGCGGGGTGGGTGAGATCCAGGTTTACGATGGGGCAGTCTGGGCTTTGAAGCCTTCCGCCGGTGCTGTCGCTGCAAGCTCAACAGTCTTGCATCTGCATCTTGTGCACTGCAGGAAGTCGCCGCAGACAGCTTTGACTGCACCGACAACCGCCCTGACGGCCATGTCGGAGGCATGTGGTTTGCAAGGGTTGAAACCAGGGTTGAAGGTTTTCTAAGAAGATTTCGAGGGTTCGTCTCCTCTTGAGCACATGTTGTGGGCAGAGGGAGCTCCCGGGCGACGAGGCAAGCCCGCTACAAGAGGGTTTTGGGTTTAGGGTCTAGCTGGGAAGCGACTCCACAGCTCGTGATGATGTGAGGCCCAAGCTGTACAGACTCGGCTTGTCCTGGCCAGGCCGCTTGCCAAACGACCTGGTCTTCATCAATTGCGTCCGAGGCAGGTATGCCGGTCCAGTTTCGACTCGGTGCCGGGAGGCTTTCGGCTGCTCAGCTTGGGGCTTTGGTGCAGGTCAGATCGAGCAGTGCATGCATGTCCGGGGATGTGTCGAGCCAGCAGGGTCTCAGCTGGCTCGCAACGGGGAGAGAATCGCAACGGCAAACAATCACCAACACAGAGTACCCACCATGCGCAAACTCTTCTGGACAGAATGCTTTGTCTGGTCGGCGGTTTCGTCCTCTTTGCTATTTCAAGGTAGTGTCGGGAGGCTGTGCGATTTCCATTTTGCAAAGATGTTGCTCAGGCTGTCCGCTTGAACTTTCGTAAAGTTCGTATCCCGAAGTGCAGCAGCGGTACTTTGCATCATGTTTTGTTTGAGAGGTTCTATCTTGGACACCGTTTCGCAGTCCGGCGAGCGACCTTTGGCGGCATCAGGGCTGACATCCGAAACAGAAGGGAGTCAGTTGGACTGGATTTCGGGGTCACAGCAAGCCGACAAGAAGCGAAGTCTACTGACTGTGAAACATGCTGAAACATGCCTCACAGCTGATGAGCTTCACACCAGGCGCGTCTCGCCGAAACGCAGCACACTGCTACAGCCACGTCTCTCGCGACTTCGCCGCCAAGGTGGGATGTCCCCGCTAGGATTTGCCGAAGTGAAGATTCCGAACCCTTGGCCTCCAGCAAACCAGTCACAGATATGGAGGGAATGTTCTCAGATTTACAATGACCCCTTGGCTTTCCTTTCGGTGTTTGTGCGAGCCTGTGCCGTTAACATTGTCGACCATGGCCCTGGGCTCGTGCAGAGGCAGTTTCCTCCACGGCCGCCTTTGTGGTCTCCAGCCACCACGCCCCAGCCGAGCCCGGATCGCTCCCAGGCCCGCATAGGTTCGATGAGTTGAATGAGCTGCTAGGATATCGAAAGAAACAAGATGGTCCACTATGCTTATCAACTGAACATGTATGAACACCGTTAGTTATATATATATATATTTTTTTCTTTTGTATTATGAGACAGTATAGTATATAACATTATATAATATTGCATTATACTGGACAGCGGAAAGGTAATAGCCTTGAGCAATCAATCACTATGATATCATAATATAGTATCGTGCAGTATCATACCGTACTATATTATGTACTACCACATCGTATTATATACTGTAGTGTTTTATACATCTTATTGTTTATTATGTTGTTTTAAGTGTTTTACTATGCAATATACTATATTGCATATGTTATCACATTATGTCATATACCTTACATATATATATATACATATATATATATATGTATAGATAGATAGATAGATATATNNATATATATATATGTATAATATCATCAGACGCTGAAAGATATTATATTATACTATTTCATACTCTGTTATATTAAATTGCATCAGCCAACATAATATAACACTTTACATCATTATATGAAATATAAAACTGTTTCGAGGATATATTATTGTATATTGTAGCATTTTATTTTATGTCATTATAAAGAATAAAATGTATTAGATTGGGTTCTATTACATAGGCTTTTTCTTCTTCTCTTAGTATATATTGCCTTTGTATATCTGATATTATATATATATATAT